ACTGGCTCAAACCAGCAGAGGAATATGCTGTACATGCAAAAGTACCAGGAGTGAGAGATGGATGAGGATCAAGTACCAGCCTGGGGGTGGGCACATTCCGTATCACAGGACAGGAGACTAGGACCCCTCTGAAGCCCCCATCAGCTGACCTACATTATTAGTTACAGCAGCTCCCTAAGCAGCATGTTTTTCTCCCCTGCTTCTCTTCATTAATAATGATGGAAAAACTTGTTTTTCCCAGATAGCTTTTGCCATCATCACTGTCCCATGTGGAGAAAGTTCCCAATAATAGACTGAAAAAGCGTGAAAATGGATGATGGACCTGCCAGTGCAGAGGGACCACTGGGCAGAGGAGGTGCTCAGCATGTCCTGCTCCACAGTTACCCCACAGCTTTCTGTTTGCCAGAGTTACTCAAGGACAATGCTCTGAGCCCTTCCTATGTAAGCAAGTTGCTCCCCACAACTGATCAGGACTGAGTGTGAGCACCAGCTGGCAAAGTGCAAACAGCTCCGAATTAAGCTGCCGTAATTGTGAATGGCTTTCAGAGCTCAAAACCCACAAAAGTCCTCAGGTTCACCGGAACATGTGCAACCTTCAGGAGCAAGGGCTGATATGCAGAGCAATGCTTTCTGCCTCTGACATTACTTCTGCATCAGGACACTTGCTAATACAGCTGCCATCTGGAGAGCCTTAAAAATGAAAAAGAAGGGGGATCCTGAATGAACCTTGGTACAACCTTCACTTTTAGGAGATATAAATGCAGAATTCAAATTAAAATAAAGCTTTTCTAAAAACTATGTGACGCAGAAATGATAAGTGATTCAGTCAAGAAACCACATGCGATTCATTAAAACCTTAAGCAAAACCAGAAAGCCAATTTAAAAAGAAATTATTCTAATGTGAAATAGAAAGAAAAACAGGACAAGTGTTAAGACAGTCTGATGGCCTCACCCGCTAAAAAGCCTCAGAGATTCACAGTGCACTGGAGGAATTAGATAACATCAGTCGCTCACAGTGTTGTCCCTGGTTTTAAGAGTGTCACAGGGAAAAGAACGGAGCCTCTCTGGACGGTATTTCACTGCCTTAAAGGCACTCGTCTCTCCTCTCATCTCCTTGGCTCATTTGCCAGCACACCTCCTGGGAGCAAATGCACTAGAGGTCCTATACGGACAACTATCCTCTTCCCTGGCTGCCCCTGACTCACTTCTTTAATAAAGCTCATTTTGCTCATGGTAGAAAACAGCAGTATGTGACCATGTATCTTAAAAGCTCGGGGGGAAACCTTTGCTTTACTGAAGCACAGGAGAATTTTAGCTGTGATTTCAGGTGGACCAAAATTTCAGTTAAATTTTTTGCACAGACTGCATTGATCTAGCAATTAGGTGGAGGTGGTGCATTAGCTGGTACAAATGGAAGCAATGATGAGAAAAGGAAAATGAAAATTTAAAAAATATTTCAGCTGAACACTTGTTTTCTGTGGGAACACATTCGGTACCTCGATGAAGGCCTTCCTTCCTGAATTTTGACCATCAATAAAATGTATGTTTATTTACATGGGTTTGAGTCTCCCAGAGGTCCGTCGTGGCTACCCTTCTCAGGCCAAGCTCCACGGTTGAAGCTTGCAGACAGGCCCTCCTCCAGCTGTGTGAAATCTTGAAAGGCACTTAATGAATTAGATATTATTAATATTCTCTTCCAACATCAGAAGACAGTAATTAACTCTTTGAAGACTCATCCCAAACACTGCCTTATAACTTTCAGTCCTCCGAGGCAGCTATGTAATCTCGTTGTGATTTTGAAGAATATCTTTCCAGATTAATTATTTTCCCTGTTTGAAAAAAAAAAAAAGTTCGAAGTCCTGGTTCTGCCCTGGAGTGTGCATTAGTAACGTTAGATGTGCCACAAAGATTTCAGAGCACGAAACATGATATGCTGCAATACTTTGCAATTATAGATTAAAAGTCACCTCGCCACCCTGGGCAGGAGAGATGACTGCAGGTTGAAAAGCTAGCAGGCACGCTCACTTTATGGGCTCATAAATGCAGCATGATGGGTGAGCTACCTAACAGAAAAAAGACAACAAAAATCCAGAGTTGATAATAGCATGCTGAGCAGATGCTTTAAGTAGGTCATTCAACATGCCAGGCCTCTAAATGTTATTTGGGAGTGAGAAAACATTATTTTCCCACTTCAGCGAGACTTTCTCTTCCCTGTCATGTGGAACTAACCTTTTGTGCTCAGTACTGTTATTAATTTATTAGCCTTTTGAACACCTAAATTGTTTTGCAGTCTATGGACTACATCTACTGGTAAAGTGCTGGTTCAGGAACTGTGAGCGCAGGATAAACACGTGTGTGTGTGTGCACTCACGTACATGTATGTGTGTTTTGAAGAGCAGACCTGATGAAATAATATAGTTTTGACAGTGAGAACGGCCATTTTCTTGAGCACAGAACCACAAGGAGAGTATTTTTTGCTATAATTAAATGTCAAACCTCACGAGTGATGACTGAGTAGAAAAAGTGCTAAGTATATTTCTGTTGAAATCAATTAAAGGAGACAATGATTTTCTTTCCGTTTAGATTACATGACTCCAGCACAAACTGCTGCAGTACAGTGCAGCTCTGTCAGCCCTGTCTCATTGCCTGAACAACTGTGTTCTGTTCGCCTGATGAAACTGTCCTGGATGGCACCGCTTTTTTCCAAGAGATTAATTCACCGTCAAACACTTCTGTACCCAACAGGGAATCACGTATACTTTCGGCAGATGTGAGGTTTGAAACAATCCCTTGAGTAACTTTATGTAACAGGACTTAGATTGTGTCCCTGGTGTTGAAAGTAGCAAGATCTATTTTGTGCCTAGGAACAATATACAGAATTTCTGCAAAGCAGGTTCTGGCTCAGCACATCTTACTGCAATACTAGAAGTAAGACTCCTCCCAAAATACTTATTGAGTAAAACTGTGAGAGACATCATAGGTGGAGTTCATCAGATGTACCCTCCGTATTTAAAAGTTGGTGATTATGGATTCTCTCAAAAGTCAACAGAAAGGGGATGGTTTTTCCATCCCAGACTGGGCACTGAAGAGGGGCCAGATGATTGCCTTCTGGAGGAACCATTCCTCATGGGCTATAAAGGTGACTGGTGACTAGCTTGGACATCATCACCCAACTTTTAGCGAAATGAACTCCGCCCTGCATATACCACATTGACATGACCTTTCTTTGACTGTCCATCTACTCTCATGTAATGTCCACACATAGCCCCAACCAATACTTCCTTTCCTTCTGCAAAATCTAACATTTCTTTAGAAGCGTTGTTCCTTCCTGCTTTCAGTCACTGCCCCCGTGGCAAAGTCCATGTACCTAACATTGCACCGAGCTAGAGAGCAGGTATCTGTACTGGGGAACTGCGCTCCACGAGTGCTTCCACCTAGGTGACTCCTTACGCTAGGGCCCTGCAGAGGAATCAATTTTCCTTAAAATAAGTGAGTGGGAGAGAAGAAAATCCATGAAAACCCAGCCAGGAGGCTATTCCCCATATGCACCCCTGCACTACAGAGTCAGACTCCAGCGCATCGCCCTGTCATGAAAAGTTATGTATATGTTTTTGCTGTACACTACCTTGTCACGGCTAATGGGAGAAGGGAAGTCCCAGGAAGGCAGCTGAAGTGACAGGTTCGCAGTTTTAAGAAAGAAAGAATACATTTTGGCACAATGTATGTGGCATTATCTTGTCCCATGAAATCAATCGTCAGCAGTACCTGAGCAGAATTGTCATCGCGGGACTGTAGCTGGTGGCACCTCGCAGGTAGGTGAGATGGCAAGGGGAGGATGCTGAAGTCAAGGCTTGGAGGACATCTTATCAACAGAGAAGTGATAAGCTAGAAACCCCAAACCAGCTTTCAAGCTCCAAAGCCCTTCTTCAGGTCTGAAGCAGAGTTAACAACCTTCAAGTCAGAGGTGGCTGACAAGCTGGAACCAAACCTGACTATAAGTCAGCTTTTTCAGGCTGTGGCACAGACAGAGGGGGACTGTAATCCCATTGCATCTGCTTTTTGCCATGGGTATTTTGTGCCATACTTGGTATATCAATAAGCACAAGGAACGCACTAAAAATTAAAGCTCCTTTGAAAGAAGCATTTGTAAGATGCTCCAGTGGCTAGAGAGAAACTAGATTCAGAAAAGTAAAATTCTAGTTGTGTTGAATTGCTGTTCAACTGCAGAGGCTGAAATTGTCTTGTGAAATACTGAGCTAGCCTTAGTGTATTATCAGGTGAGATGTCCAAGGTACAGCTGCAGAAAAATGTGTTTCTGCAGCTAGAGGATCACAGTTAATGCTCAATAATCTATAAATCATTGTTATGAGACTTCTCTATGTAAATGAATTTTATATAACCCTCATCAATCTTAAAAAAAAATCATAAAGATTAAATTTTGCAGTCGCAATGTGAATTAAAGAATCCCTTAACCTGTTTTCAAGATACGTCCTTATAGCTAATTAATTTTTAGATGGAGTGTTCTTTGAAAGGACTAATGGATAGTGAGCATTGCTGATTGATTATAAAATGAGCAGGAGGGTTTAAGAAGTGAGCTGTGAATGTAAAATTGCTACCAAGCTTTATTAACCTTGCCATATTAAAATTCTAAACTATGCAATACTTTTGCTGAGTACATTTTATTTATTTAACATCAATAAATTTCTCTTAGTTGGTCTACGCCATGCAGATCCATCAGACTGTCCTCTGACCTATATTTTAGCAGGTGAGAGACTAAATCTCACCTCTGAGGAACCCAGAATCTGGATTCTATCAGACTATAACTTTATACATTATGCAATGGGGAAAAAAAAGCCAAAAAACAGCAACTGTGAAGAAAAGGAAAAGAAATGTAATTCACATGTAACCCTGCTAGGACTGTTTCTCAGAGCTGCAAATCTATGGGTAACTTTTATTGAGCCATCATCAACGAACAGCGACAACATTTATTGAAAGGCCAGTTAATCTTCAATGACCTGAAAACATCAAGAGTAAATTGGGGGTTGTTAGACACTGCAAACAGTCTGCAAGAGCGTGCAACCTCTTGGTGAAAGAAAGGGGAAAACAAGATCTGTTGCCTTACCCTTTTCCTCAAATTGCAGGTGAGTGTGAGATTCCTTGAGAACGAGTTTGCAAAAGCAGTATAAAAGTCCAACACTTTAAGCAAGGCTTCTCGTTTAATAATATGTAAATCGCAGTATGTCAGAGCCCGTACATTGGCACATGCGTGGGCCAGACTGGTTTCCTTCCAGAAGATATCACCAAACACATCACCTTTACCTGAAAAACAGCAGGACAAATTTGTTAAACGGTAATGCTTATGCAGTGTTCTTCACCCCACAAAAACTGTCTTATGCTTCCATTTATTCTCACATAAGCTCCCAGCTGTGAAAACTAGTAAGGGTAAAAGTTTTAAAAATATCTGAGGTACTTGAGTATCCTTAGCAGTACCCCCAGGTTTTTAAGGTATTTATAGATTGCTCTGTGAAGCGTCAAAAAGCATAAAAGCCAGATTGCAAAGGTCTCTGTAGCTGAAGATGCAGGTAATGGATTTTTCAAAGGCTCCTGAATATAATAAGCACTTAACTAATGTTCAGGTGATCGAATATTTCTGAGGGTCTGTTCCTAAGTGACTGAGGAGCTCCACTCTTATCAAAAGGCTATGACATCTAGGTTCCTACATCACCATGGCATTGCTGTATGGTGCAAGAGCCAGCTTCCAGGGTCCAGGGACCACATTTTAAAGGATGTTTAAACATTTTTAATTCAGTGTGAGTGGCAACACTCCTTCTGAAAAAACCACCAAAAACCTCCCTGAGACTTTTGATCTCTAAATAACCAGCTCCAAATTTTAAACACATCCAGAAGTCTAGTTCTAAACCCAAACACATCCACATAAGAGAGGCTTATGCTTAAGTCTGTACTTAAATGCTGGCTGAGTAAGAAAGGGTTTGACACCTTAGACACCTGCATGCATTAATAACTTCAACCAGATGTGAAAATTACACCTGAAGGCTATTTCTACATTGGTAGGCAGTGTAGCAGAACAGGTGATGCTGAGGACCCACACATTTTGAGGACTTAGGACTAGCTGCAGTCCAGTCCCACGGACAGAAGAGCTCCAACGGGTGGAAGTGTGTGAAATGTGCCCCAACATACCCCAGTTTCCTTTCCTCTGTAAGGAATCCACACCTCCAGACAGCCACGCTAGACAGCGAAGCAGGTCAAGTCGGGAGGATCAGGACATCAGATTTAAAACCACATTCCTGACCCAAGGAAAACACTAGCATGGCTGCAGACTGGAGATAGGCTTTCAGGTTTGGACCCTAAGGCAGCAACAGAGAACAGACTGAAGCATCCAAAAGCTGCCTCTTGCTGCGCGGTTGCTTGCCAGCCACAGGCTGGGCAAGGGCCACAGTCTGTGGTTTGTGGTTGACACCTCAAATCCTGAAGCAGAAACCATGGTACAAAGGGTATTTTTTGTTTCAGACCCCAGTGATATCCAAGCTCTTTATTTCAGCAGTTATTAAAAGGAAACTAAAATCAGTCAGTCAGTGGTGGTATCGCTATTGATTTCAGGTACCTCAAGCAGCCCCTTGGTGAAGGTTAGTGATTTTATAGTTTTGGGATAAAAAAGGTAATACATTTTAGTATTTCCTCTTTTAAGAACTTGTAAAATTTCACTCAACTCTATTTTGAGAACACAGAACAGAGAAATAATTTATCCAACCTTATTACTTTTCAGGATCAGAGGCTCTATTTCTCTATTTCCATTTCTGCTTTAGGTATTATATCCAGCAAAACATATCTAACATTTCTCATGCAGAGTAAAATAAAATGTACAAGTCCTTATCTTCATTTCCTTGTTTTTATTTTCTAACAAAAGTCTATATAGCAGAATCATCCCTCAGAAAGGTTATAACTGCATTTTCATTGAACTGCTTTTAATTCTACATATTTTGATGTAATTAACTACAATACATAATACCGCTGGTATAATTTATAAAGTAAGTTGTTTTAAAATGCTCTCCTTATCACAGAACATTTCCTAGTAACATATCATTTATCCAATGTACTGTTTTGAAATTACCTTTTGCAGTTAATTGTCCTTGTCTATACCCACAGTTCAAAACCGGGTTTACAGATAGACTCAGCACAGTTACATAATTTATAGGAAATAGACCATTTCAGAAATGCAGAAAACTGCTTAATGGAATTGAGGTGGACACAGGACAGAATTGAGTCCTGCTTTCAGGAGCTGCAGAGTGCAGTTAAAAAGACAGAATCCAATAATAGGGACTAATACGATTTTCCCACCGAAATGTGAGCAAAGTACTTATTTTCTTTCCAAATTTAAGGTAACACATAGCTAATTTAAGTCAAGAGGTTGAAAGCAATGGATTCTTACTCCGAAACTCTGCACAATGGTGTGTTACTGGATGTGTACCCAAATCATGGATAAAATAAATCATTGCTCATAAACTTCAGAAGATTTTCTCATTGTCTTCAGTTCAGTGAGGCAGGGAACTCCACTGGGTCCCTCAGAAAGGCTAGGACATGATGAATTGAAACTATTCACTCCTCCATGAGCCATCAGTCACTGGATTTGAATGGTGAAGCTGTAAGCTCCTCTTACATTGTGGTTTTTTCTCTTCAGAAAGTACAAAATCTTGGAAGCGTTTAAGGGTTCCTGAATTTGACATTTCCCACACACACTTTTGAGTCTTGTTTGCCTGTTATAAATGTGCTAAGGAACGTATTGAATGAAAACAAAACCAACCAGATTCTCCAAAACAACATGTCTTTTCTCATAAATACAGAGATTAATGTCCTATACTTGGTCCCTATTAACTGTAGTTCACTGAGTAGAGAGCTGTAATTATTCATTCAAGTTTAATTTTACACAGTGTAACTAAATGAAAAAACCTTTCAGAGTTGCAACAGAAAATTTAACTAGTAGGTCTGAAACACCACCTTTTTTTGTACACTTGCACAACACATACACCTCCAGGGAAAGCCCGGCACTGGGTTGGGAATACAGAGGCACTTGGGACCAATGCAGCCTGCAGACTTTTCAAAGCCTCTCTCTAGAGAGTTCTTGAGGCCCCAGCATGTCACCTCCCAAATCTGCACTGCCCTGAGTCCTAAGAAGTCTTAATATCCCTCCTGGATGGAGGCCAAACTCTTGGAAGTCCTCCTGCCCCTGCTCTCACAGTGTCCGAAGCATCGCTGAAAAAGGGATGCTGTAAATTAGAGTGGGAACCACTTGGTATGAGGAAAGGGAAGAGGAGAGCCAGGACTGGGATATTGCTGGATTAAAGCTGGCAGGAACATGGGTCTAAGGATTTGGGGACTGAAAGAACCACAGAAACCAGAAGGACATGTTCAGGGCATTGGTGACAGGCACAATTTTTGCTGAATTAGCTACACTGGTAACATCCTAATATGGACAAAAATTTGCTGGTGTATTATGTATGTATGCCTCTGCCTAAAATATACATATATATTCATGCATGCTTGTATCTATATTTAGAGACAATCATGTGGTATGTAACTATATAATAGATAATGATATTTCTATACATTATTCTATCTTTTATATTATGATAACTCTCCCATACAGAAGGGAGGGTGGGGATAGATGTTCTCCGCAGCCTTGCACCATGGGCTGACTTGCCAGTTTGTGAGACAGCAGCTCACGCCTGCACCTTTCAGGCAGAAAAAAATCCTAAGGGCCTTATGAAACTCCTCAGGAGCTTGCAAAGGGAATGAAAAAAGTTCTTGGACTCAAGAGAGGAAAGACTCTTGTTAAACAGCGTCTCAGAACTCATATATATACACATATATATGTACATATATATACACATACATATACACACATATATATATATATATATGTAAAGGCAAAATTTATCTTTTTCCAGATAGTGACAGAAAATGAGCTAAGAAATATCCTAGTAGACATGAGAATTTGATGGGGCCTTTGGGAGAAAGTTTGGGCAGGCAGTGGAAGAATAAATTCTTGGTGGAAAACAGCACTGAGGAAAAACACATACCAGGGACCAAGACTTCTTAAGGTGATAAGGTATTTTTCTGTGCTGTGCAGTCTCAGCTAATAGGCCAGCCACCCTTCCCCCCATTTTAAAACATCTCCAGAGTCCCACCAGTCACACTAGCAAAAGCCAGTTGTGATGAATAATGTAGGCTTTCCACCATGATATGCTCAAATCTTCTATTGCTTATGAAACCAAAGGCTGATTGCGTTGCAGGATCAGTAAAACTGTACCATGTAGAGAAAATGTTCATCTAATCAGCTCGGGTACCAATAGCCATGAAGTGACTGAAAATGGATCAGAGCTGAGCACTGATCAGTTAGAAATCCAGGTCTACAGGACTGCACATTAATATGTGAAAGGGCAGAATGATGAGAAAAAACAGCATTTCTAGCATTTGAAAGAATGTCAAAATAGCCAACAAAGAAACAATACAAGAGAATATGCCAAAGAATCAAGTCCACGTTGGCAAAGGTACCTTACATTATTTAAGACAGTGCAACCTTCTTCATCTGCACCTAGAACACACAATTTACTTTTTTTCCAGCATTCAGGACTGCTGCAAGAAAAGCAAAAGGTCTATACAGGTATTCCCCTGGTAGTGAAGGGTTTATGATCCCCATCTCTCTCACTTTTAGTGCAAGTCTCCTAGTACTTCATATTTTTCTAGAAGCTCCAGTTCCTGTAGACAGGATATCTCCATTTTGATTTTATACAGAAATAAGTTTCTATACTTCCTGACTGAGGAAATAAACTTGAAAGCATGACCGTTGCCACCACCTTCAAAACTCATAAGGCAAATCAGATTGCCTCACACTGTTAGTCTGATTTAAAAGAAATATATCATATGATTTTAAAATAATTTTCCTTTTCTTGCACTGCCAAGACTTCTGAGCTCCTGAGTTTGGCAGTGAAGCATGCAGGTCTAACTCAAAAACATTTCAATTCAGGGAAAGGAATCTTTCTGACATTGGAGGCTGCAGATCACATCTATAACACACCAGCTGGCACTAAATTAAGATTGATGCTTCTTATTACAGTTAACTATCATGCAGATAGAGACAAAAATATTTTAGATTTACAAAATAATGTGAAAAATTGAATGTTCCCTTCAACTCTGTAAGTAAGAGCTAATAATACTTTTGAACAAGCATCAGTTGGATGAAATCTTACATGGTACCACATATGCCAAGCCAGATCTGCAAGATACGACTTATTCCAAGGAAT